GAGATGCATAGATGATGTTACACTATGTGTGGACCATGGAAGATAGTCAAGAGATGATGTATGAAATATGTTAGGAATGCATAGATGATGGTAAACTATGTGTGAACCATGAAAGATAGTCAAAAGATGATGTGTGAACTATGACTGAGATACATAGAAAATGGTCAACTATCTATGAACCATGGAAGATAGTCAAAAGATGATGTGTAAACTATGTCAAAGATGTATAAATGATGGTAAACTATGTGTGAACCATGGGAGATAGTCAAAAGATGATGTAAGAACTATGTCTGAGATGCATAAATGATGGTCAACTATGTGTGGACCAAGGGAGATAGTCAAGAGATGATGGTGAACTATGTGTGAGATGCATAAATGATGGTCAACTATGTGTGAACCATGAAAGCTATTCAAAAGATGATACTGAACTATGTGTGAGATGCATAGATGATGGGCAACTATGTGTGAACCATGGAAGATAGTCAAGAGATGATGTGTGATTTATGTGCATAAATGATGGTCAACTAAGTCCCATAGTTCACACATAATGGATCGTCATCTATGCATCTCTGACATAATTCACGCATCATCTCTTGACTATCTTCCATAGTTCACACATAAATGACCATCAATTATGCATCTCACACATAGTTCATCATCATCTCTTGACTATCTACCACGGTTCACACATAGTTGATCATAATTTATGCATCTCTGACAAAATTCACACATCATCTCTTGACTATTTCCGATGGTTCACACATATTTGACCATCATTTATGCATTTCTAACATAGTTCACACATCATCTCTTGACTATCTTCCATGGTTCACACATAGTTAACCATCATATATGCATCTCACACATAGTTCACCATCATCTGTTGACTATCATCCATGGTTCACACATAGTTGACCATCATCTATGTATCTCACACATAAGTCACCATCATCTATTGAATATCTCCCATGATTCACACATAGTTGACCATCATTTATGCATCTCTGACATAGTTTACACAGTATCTCTTGATTATCTCCCATGGTTCACACATAGTTAACCATCATCTATGTATCTCTGACATAGTTCACACATCATCTCTTGATTATCTTCCATGGTTCACACATAGTTGACCATTATCTATGCATCTCACATATAGTTCACGCATCATCTCTTGACTGTGTTCTATGGTTCACATATAGTTGACCATCATCTATGCATCTCTTCCATAGTTCACACATAGTTGAGCATCATCTATGAATCTCACACATAGTTCACCATCATCTGTTGACTATCTTCCATGGTTCACACATAATTGACCATCATCTATGCAACTCACACATAGTTCACCATCATCTATTGACTATCTCCCATGGTTCACATGTAGTTGACCATAATCTATGCATCTCTGACATAGTTCACCATTATCTCTTGACTATCTTCCATGGTTCACACATAGCTAACCATCATCTATGCATCTCTGACATAGTTGACACATCATCTCTTGACTATGTGTCATGGTTCACACATAGTTTGCCATCATCTATGCATCTATGACATAGTTCACACATCATCTCTTGACTATCTCCCATGATTCATACACAGTTTACCATCATCTATGCAACTTTGACACATTATCTCTTGACTTTTTCCTGTGGTTCACATATAGTTGATCATCATCTATGTATCTCGTACATATTTCACTATCATATCTTGACTATCTTCCATTGTTCACACGTAGTTGACGGTCATTTATGCATTTATGTTGTAGTTCACACATAATATATTGACTATCTTCCATGGTTCACACATATTTGACCATCATTTATGTATCTCTGACATTGTTCACCACAATCTCTTGACTATCTCCCATGGTTCACACATAGTTTACCATCATCTATGCATCTCACACATAGTTCACCTTCATCTCTTGACTATATTCCATGGTTCATACCTAGTTCACTATCATCTATGCATCTCACACATAGTTCACATATCATCTTTTAAATATCTTCCATGGTTCACACATAGTTGACCATCGTCTATGCATCTCGAACATAGTTCATCATCATCTGTTGACTATCTTCCATGATTCACACATAGTTGACCATCGTCTATGCATCTCTGACATAGTTCACCGTCATCTCTTGATTATCTTCCAAGGTTCACAAATAGTTGACCATTATCTATGCATCTCACATATAGTTCACACATCATCTTTTGACTGTGTTCTATGGTTCACATATAGTTGATCATCATTTATGCATCTCTTCCATAGTTTACACATGGTTGAGCATCATATATGAATTTCACACATAGTTCACCATCATCTGTTGACTATCTTCCATGGTTCACACATAATTGACCATCATTTATGCATCTCACACATAGTTCACCATTATCTATTGACTATCTCCCATGGTTCGCGTGTAGTTGACCATTATCTATGCATCTCTGACATAATTCACCATTATCTCTTGACTATCTTCCATGGTTCACACATAGTTAACCATCATCTATGCATCTTTGACATAGTTGACACATCATCTCTTGACTATCTGTCATGGTTCACACATAGTTTGCCATCATCTATCCATCTATGACATAGTTGACACATCATCTCTTGACTATCTCCCATGATTCATACATAGTTTACCATCATCTATGCATCTTTGAGACATTATCTCTTGACTTTTTCCTATAGTTCACACATAGTTGATCATCATATATGTATCTTGCACATATTTCACTATCATATCTTGACTATCTTCCATTGTTCACACGTAGTTGACGGTCATTTATGCATCTATGTTGTAGTTCACACATAATATATTGACTATCTTCCATGGTTCACACATAGTTGACCATCATTTATGTATCTCTGACATTGTTCACCACCATCTCTTGACTATCTCCCATGGTTCACACATAGTTTACCATCATCTATGCATCTCACACATAGTTCACCTTCATCTCTTGACTATATTCCATGGTTCATACATAGTTCACTAACATCTATGCATCTCACACATAGTTCACACATCATCTTTTGAATATCTTCCTTGGTTCACACATAGTTGACCATCATCTATGCATCTCGAACATAGTTCATCATCATCTGTTGACTATCTTCCATGATTCACATATAGTTGACCATCGTCTATGCATCTCTGACATAGTTCACCTTCATCTACGTATCTCATACATAGTTCACCATCATCTGCTGACTATCTTTCATGGTTCACACATAGTTGACCATCATCTTTGCATCTCACACACAGTTCACACATTATATATTGACTATCTTACATGGTTCACACATAGTTGACCATTATAAATGCATCTCACACATAGTTCACCATCATCTGTTGACTATCTTCCACAGTCACATATAGTTGACCATCTTCTATGCATCTCACACATAGTTCACCATCATCTCTTGACTATCTTCCATAGTTCACACATAGTTGACCATCATCTATGCATCTCTTACATAGTTCACAGATAATCTCTTGGCTATCTTCCATGGTTCACACATAGTTGACCATCTTCTATGCATCTCTGACATAGTTCACACTTTATGTCTTGACTATCTTCCATGGTTCACACATAGTTGACCATCATCTATGCATTTCACACATAGTTCAGCATCATCTCTTGACTATCTTTCTTGATTCACACATAGTTGACCATCATCTATTGACTATCATCATGTCATCTTGGAATGGTCACATAATTAAATTTCATTTTAAAAAACATTAGAGTAAAATATGAAAATTTTAAAACAATATTTTAAAATATTGTTCCAATTAATGTTAAAATCACATAATTTTCCTTAAAATATGTTTTAAAAAATAATTTTATTAAGTTACATTTTAAAAAACGTTATAGTAAAAATATAAAAAATATAAAATAATTTTTTAATATATTGCTCCAATTAATGTTAAAATCACATAATTATTTTTAAAATATATTTCAAAAAATAATTTTATTAAGTTACGTTTAAAAAAAAATTTATAGTAAAAATATAAAATTAAATTAAATTAAAATATATAATTTAATGTCAAAATTTGTTTTAAAAAATGAATTTATTAAGTTACATTTTAAAAAACTGTTATAGTAAAAATATAAAATTTTAAAACAATATTTAGAAACATTGTTTCAATTAATGTTAAAATCAAATAATTATTTTTATAATATATTTTAAAAAATTAATTTGATTAAGTTACATTTAAAAAAATGTTATAGTAAAAATATGAAACTAAATTAAATTAAAATATATAATTTAATGTCAAAATATGTTTTAAAAAATAATTTTATTAAGTTACATTTTAAAAAACGTTATAGTAAAAATATAAAAAATTTTAAAAAATATTTAAAAATATTGTTTCAATTAATGTTAAAATCAACTAATTATTTTTAAGATATATTTTTAAAAATAATTTTGTTAAGTTACGTTTTTTAAAAAACGTTATAGTAAAAATATGAAATTAATTTAAATCAAAACATATATTTTAATGTCAAGTATATAGTTTGTCAAATATATCCAATTAATGTCAAATATAATTTGTCAAGTATATCCAATATTGTCAAATTAAAAAATTATTTAATTAATAATGACATAAATTATGTGTATGAGACATAATATATTATGGTGTGCTTCATCATAATTCAATGATTCCTATTAATTTGAAAAAGAAAAAAAGAAAAGAAAAAAGAGAGAGAGACCTATCATCTCTCATGGTAGCCTAAGCCGTAATAAAATGTAAACAAAGATGAATAAATAAAGTTAACTTATTCAAATCTATAAACTTTGATTATTACTTTTTTTGTTCAAGATTGATTTGAAAAACTCAAAGTAGTTGAACTTTCCAATTCCATTGTTTTCACCACTCCTGAAGCAATAAGCATCAACCTATTCATCATATATAATCTCTTCTCTTTCTCTCTCCTAAACCTCTCTCACACTTTTCTTTTCTCTCTCTTACATCTTCATCAACATGGGTTCAGCCTCTAGTCGACTCGGGTCTCGTCCTTCTCCTCCAAGGGTCAACAACCATCGCTTCAGATTCTCTTCCTTTCTCTGCGGCTCCTCCACCTCTCGCTCCATTTCTCAGGTTCCGATTTTCTTCTGTTTAACACTTTTTCAATTCACCTTCACCTTTTCAATTCATTGTTCATTCATCCGATCCCCTTTTTATTCAAAAGATCAAAATAATATAAGTACTGATTATCATAGTTGTTGTTGTTGATGATGATGATTGATTAAATTTTACATGTATGAGCTTAATCAATGAAATTTTTTGTTGATGCCACTGATATCATTATTTATTAGAAATATTGAAAAATTAAATGTTGCAAGCAAGGTTTTAAAGCGGTGCACGTAAAAACTTTCGCGATTATATGTGTTGTGACACTGATTGTGGTCGTCGCATTGTGAACTAACCACAGTTTTTTTTCAACAAAAAACTGTGAATAACGTGTTTTGTCCCGGAGGTTTTTGTGGTCGCAGACCATTTTTTGAAACCCTGGTTGCAAGTTTATTGAAAAATTGACTGTTAAATAGATATTCTGAGAGTAACTGATTAAGGGAGTGACATTTTGTACTATTTTTTTTTATAGATGGAAGAACATCAATATGAAGAGCTTCATGTTAATTCGGCTAGACATTTCAATGATGAGAAAGTCCCTGATGAATCCTCGTTATCATGTACAGAAGAAGCTAGAATCAGTTGCTGTCCTCAGGCAGAAACTTCAATCTCAACCGATATGAGAACTGAGTTCTGCGGGAATGCTACTGTTGAAGGTTCTTATGGAAATGGTGCAACGAGTAGTCAGAGGAATTGCTTGTCTGAACATAAGGAGCTAGTTTCTCCTTATCAGGTATGTGCTGGTCATAATCATCGTGAATCATATAGTGATGGTAGCAACACTGCTAGTACTTCATTTGTTGAACAACGGTCTTCAGATCCAGTCTCTATAAATGATTTTACTAACATGGATAGAATCAATAATGTTGATGATCCAGTGTCTAGTGGTGTCTCTCGAATCTCTCATCATGAGACCGCGCACCCACGGAGCTCAATCTCTCAAGAGCATGGAAATGCCAGTTCGGATGAAATTTCTGTTGAGATTGACACAAATGCAGACATGTCTATCCATAGTTCTTCTAGTCATGTTGCTCAAGTGTCTAATGCACCACCAACTTCTCAAGTGCCAGAAGATGAAACCCGTCGTGAAACAATACCTTCAGGTTTAGGTATTCTTGTGTCCAATAGGGAAATAGTGCAGGGAAATGATGGTATGTTTCAAGTGGATGTGGTCGCAATATCTTCCAACATTTTGTCTGGCAGCAATGCAGATGCGGATGATCATGATGCTAGAAGCAATGGTAGAAGATTATTTTGGGATGCTTTTTCACAGCGTAGTTCTAGAAGGTTTGGTGATTCTCCAACCATCGTTATCTCCACGGGAGGTGCTGATGATTCGGGATCTCAAGATCGGTGGCAGGTTGATTTCGATGAGGATTTATCAAATGACGGGCCTGGACGTCCGCCTAGATATAGGGGCAGTAGAGTTCGCAGATTGAGTGAAAGAGTGCGACACTCAAGATCTGAGGTGATTCTGAACATTTTTAATGCTTCAACTTACTTATGTCACATATGCATTTATTAACTGGGTTTGTGATCCCTGTCGTGTTACTTCTGTCACAAGCATTTTGTAAGCTGTTTGCTTTCCTTTATACAGATCTGGGAAAGGCTTCGTGGAGGCCTTGATGAGATTGGTCGGTTGAACTCTTCATGTCCATTAGGACTCCATGCAGACGGTATGTGCTCGTGCGAGTCATTCCCAATGGCTGAAGAATCTAGTTCTCGGTCAAGTATTTCAAGAATAGTCATGCTGGCTGAGGCTCTCTTTGAGGTATTTACTTTCTCTATTTGCTCCGAGATTTATTTAATTTAGCGTTCAACCCTTACACCGCGCTATTCTTGCATAATTTGAATCTAACTATGACACAGTTGATAGGATAGTGTGACACATCATAAATTTTGGAGCCATGTGCTATTATTACTTATTTTAGCTGCAAATATTTTGTGCATACAGAACTATGGTTTTCATAGTGGATCATTATTCATAACTGATATTGTACCGAATGAGATGTCTGATATGTGGATCAAAACAAATTTATGAAACACCATATTTTTCCACCGCAGGTTTTAGATGAAATCCACCGGCAACCTTCATCCCTTTCCCTCTCCACGGTCTCACTCCCTGCGCCTGAATCAATTGTGGACTCTTTCCCTCTGAAGTCTCACAAAAAGGTTGATGCAGCTGATGGAGGCAATGATGCTGAACAGTAAGCCCCTTGATCCTTTATTATCATCATCATCATCATCATCATCATCAAGTAATCAAGTTTCCCCTAGATTAGTTGTTATAGATGATTAGTTTTTAGCTTCTAATATTTGAGTCTACCAGTGATTATGATACTCTGTCTGCTCTTGAATGCTCACATGAAAGTTACATACTTTTTATTTTTATTTTATTTTTTCATTTAGCAGTTCGAGTTTATTCTATCTTCCAATATAATATAAAAAAAAAAGTTAAAAATCAATTTGTTAGATGCTACATATGCTTGGCGGAGTATGAAGATGGGGACCAAATACGAGTTCTTCCTTGCAAGCATGAATATCACATGTCGTGTGTCGATAAGTGGCTGAAGGAAATACATGGGTAACCTACTTGATATATTGTCCTCATTCTTTTCATATTTACTAGTTTCCAATATTTAAGTAACCATGTTTTCTGCTTCTCTATTTTACAGGGTATGTCCTCTGTGTCGCGGCCATGTTTGTGGTGGCTCAACCGGGCCGTCAGTTCATTCAGAAGTGCAGTCAATAGTTGAAATCTAGGCTAGACTTAATGTTTGCCTTGATGTATATACACTTTACATCAATTTCTTCTTCCAGAAATTAGTGTCACCAAAATGGTTCATTTTGATAATCACAGAATTTGATGAATCATTTTGATATCAGAAATCTTGAAAGATTGACTTGATGTTTAGTGTATGTTTGAATAATCATAAGGTCATATAGGTGGCAAATTATATTGGATCCTTTGTAAATGATAGGTGGCAAAATAGTAATTGACAAGGCGAAATTTTATATCTGAGTTTTGGAGGCTTCTCTTGAAAATTTTATATTGGAGTTAATATCCAAATTAGCAGCATAAAGAGATGAATTAGATTATAGTTTTGCAATTTTATCGTTCAATTTGAAATGTAAGACTAGATTGATGCTTTTTCCTACCATTTCAAAGATCAATTTGAGTTATTTTTAGTTGTTATAAAACCTTACCCGAAACATAAAATTTAATGAAGGAATACACATTTCAATTTATGCACATGAAACATAAATGCTTGTCAAGACTTAAGTAGAAATGACAAGGTAACACCATAGATTTTGATACAGAAAAGAGATATATCAGATCATGAAAATACTTTATTGATAAATCAGACAGTAATTGTCTTTTTTATGGTTTTCTAAAGTCTAAAACATAACAGTATTAGACTCCTCCAGATGAGGTCTTAAAGCGTAGTTCAAGAGGTTGAACACACACTAAAGAGTTTGTGAAACAGGTTCAAAGTTCAAATCTTAACTACTAATACAAATTTGCTCGCTCGGAGAAAGAAGCTGATAGAGACCTCAGCTTAATCAATTCCATATATTTTCAATAATCACGAGAAAATGGATTGATGTTGCTACTGCGAACCGAATTGTCATGATGAACAAAAAGATTCGGATGCATATTCTCATCATCATCAAATGTTGTCCATCGCCTCGAGTTCTCACTGTGTTTTTCTTTCGCTATGCTGCGCATGTTTTCCATTTCTTCAACATGGTTTTTGAATTCCTTTTTCACCACATCCAACACAACATCACCGTATCGGTCACACCATGATCTGAAAACACAGTAAACACATGTGATAATAAGAAAGAAACCTTAAAAGTTGAGTGAGTACATAAATCAATTGTTAAGTAGTAATTCAAAGTCAACTCACTTGGGGAAGTAGTTTTTCAGATCAGCCTTGTCCACCGGAATCCTGGTAGATATTGCTTCCATTTGATCATTCCTGTTAGCACAAAACATATACAAGCAAATGTTACATTTCTAAGCAAACAAGTTTCATTTTTCCAAATGAAGTTATGATACAAAAAAGAAAAAAAATACTAACGAAAATTTAAGATTTGGATTTGTGCTGCTAAGTTCTGTCTGAATTCTTGACAGCTCCTTCTTTATGTTGTTTCCCAAAACCTATTTATAATTCACAATAAATTTTGGTTAATATATAGTATGTCCAAAACTAGCTCAAAGAAAATAAGATTCATAAATGTCTACATAGACAACTGAATTCGAAGTGAATCCAGGACGCATTCGCGCAATCAACTAGACTATCAGCATCGGGGCCATCTTAAAATTTTGGAGGCACTATCTAGGTTAGCCGCAGATCAACGGCAAAGCAAAACTAATAAGGACACTGCTTAATCATATTTTAACTGGGATAAATTTTAGGTTTATCGCAGTCACCCTATGTAGGTTAGCCGCAGATCAACCTCGGCAAAGGGACAAGAAAGAAAACCTTGTCTATGAAAAAATCAGATGGGGCACCATCAGAATGCAACTTTTTCTTGATCAACTTGGTGTCTGGTCCATCCCCAACACCCCTTGCAAAAGACTGAGATGAAGCCGAGAAGGCCTCACTATCAGATCTCTGATTCAGAGGCAAAGGAGCTGTTTCATCATCATCCAATTCAACTTTCTTCCCTTTCTTAAATCCATCAAACCCCCATTGCTTTTTCACTGATTTCCCTCCTCTTTGTTCTACCTCAGACCCCTCTCTCTGCTCCCTATGAAACAAAGTCCTAAACGGTTTCCTCTTCGACTTCTCCGAACCCGGTTCTGGAGGCCCACTTTCCTCCATTAGAATTGACACACCTTCATTCTGTTGTTTCAAAGAAGGTGAATCAAATATACTCTTTTCATGCTTGTTAGAAGAAACAAACCCCAAAACCGATCCCTTTATCTGTTTCAAAGCCGACCCGTGATTCGATTTTCCCTTAGAATTCAAATTCTCCTTATTCATTAAACTCTTATCATCCTTCAAATCAATCACGGACCACTCCTCTTCAGAATTCTTTTTCACATCCTTCGACTTCCCCGCGATTACATCCTTAGCTTGAATCTGAACTCCTTGCACCGCTAATCTTTGCAACAATGGCCGTTTCGAAGAATGGTAATCCTCTTCAGAGATACACTTAGCATAAAGCAGTTCCTAATAAGGTAAAAAAAAAGTCAAAATTCAAAACCAAAAACAGGAAAGGTTCAAAACTTCATAGATGAGTTCAAAGGGTACTCAAATCAACCTGCAAAAACAGAAGCTTGTCTCTTAATATAACCGGATTCTCTTGTTCCAAAGACGAAGCGATAAGGGTTTCAAGCAAGTGAGTTTTGAAAGCTGAAACTTCAGTTTCAGCTACAATTCCTTCTTTATGAAGACCCATCAAGTTCAAAACTTGGTGAAAAGAATCTTGTTGCCATTTAAGGTTATCAGATTGTAGCTTTGAGAGCTTATGTTCCGCAGATTGTATAGATCGTTTCTTGAAGCTGAAAGGAAGAATGGTCTTGCAGAAAGAGGTGATTGAATCATGGAGTGTTGAGTAGTAAGTGGGGGTGTAGTTAGAGTTTGAGTACACCATTGCTGTGACAGATTGAAGAATGAAAATTTTTAAGGTGAAAATTGTTCGTTTAAGAAGTTGGAGATGAAAAAAAAACTGTCAGGAAATTATGTATGGATTTTGTTTGTGTTGTTTTTTTTTTCAAAATTTAAAATTTTAGAAGGGTGTTTTTATTATTTCTCAAACGGTCATTTGAAGGTGGAACTAGCCGTTGAGGTTTGTGAATGAGATGAAGCATAGTGATCATGTGGTCAACATGCTCTTCCAAGTGACTTTTGACTAAAAGTTCATAATAAATTAGTTTTTAATGTGTAATTAGTAAGAAATTTGTGTTATTGCAAGGGACAGGGTCCCGTCTGAATTTAAATTATAAATCTCTCATTCTTATTTGTTAAATTTGTATATATTTATTCAGTTGATTAACATTTATATAGTTATAAACATAATAAATGTTTTGAACTCGTCTGTCTATTTATAAAAAATATTTGTAATTTGTTCTGATTTATAATAATTATATAATTGGTTGAATTTTTTTTATTTATAAAAATACTGGCGTCTAGACGGGTACTCGCGTGTCCGTCTGTCTGTTTTTTTTAATTCACACATAAAAATATAAATGATATATTTATATTTAATATAATTTATACCGTAAGTTATATAAAAAATTAATAGTATAAAGTTAAATAGGAGTTAATAGGAGGAAGTTATGTGAAAAATGATAGTAATGAAAGTTATTAGATAAATTATACATTAAATAAGAGTAAAATTAGTATAAAAAATTAGACTACACCAAAAACTAAGCTTTGCCTTCATATATGTTATAGATTTATAACTTATTCCCGTTTAAAAAAATTATTGTAACTTATTTCTGAATATAAAATATTTATAACAATATGTAAATTTTTTCTCGTTTATAAGTGTCTTGAACTTTGTGACCATTTATAAAACAAATTTTAACTTATTCCGGTTAAAAATAATTGTATTAATACTTGAATTTTTCTCGTTTATAAAATATTTGTATTTTTTTTCTTTTATAAAAATAATTGTAACTTATTTTCATTTATAAAATTATTGTAACTTTTTTTTGTTTATAAGCACCTTGAATTTGTGTGTTTATTTATAAAAATATTGGGAATTTATTCTCATTTATACAAATAATTGTATCAATAGTTAAATTTATTTCATTTATAAAATTATTTGTAACTTATTCACGTTTATAAAAATAATTATAACTTATTTTAGTTTATAAAAATGATTGAATCAATAAATTTTTATCATTTATTCTTTTTTCTTCATGATTACCATTTATCATTAAATTTACATGACTACCATTTATCATTTTTTTTACCATGATTACTATTATAAAGTTAATTTGAATTTTTTTTGATAAGTTTCAGTAATTTTATAAGTTTAAAAAACAAAATCTCAATTGATTTTGTTTTATTAAACTTTTTTTAAAATATAAATAATTTCAAAATATATTTTATTTCAAATAAGAATTTAAGTGATTATAAAATATATTTTATTCATATGTTTTTAAAATGAAAAAAATAAATATTTATCTTATCATATCAAATTTATTTATTCAAATAAAGAAACGTCATTTATTAGTGATTAATATAGAATTTATTATTTTAATGTCTAGCTAATTTGATTAAAGTAAAATAAATATTTTAACTATTTAAAATACATATTTAATAAAAAGACAAACTTAAATATTTCTTGTTTATACAAATATTTGTAATTTATTTTCATTTATAAAAATTATTGTAACATATTTTCATTTATAAAAATATTTGTAATTTATTCTTGTTTATAGAAACATTTATAACTTATTCTTTTTTATAAAAATATTTGTAACTTATTCTCGTTTATAAAATTATTTGTAATTTAATTTCGTTTATAAAAGTTAGTGTAACGTATTCTCATTTATAAAAATAATTATATCAACATGTAGAATTTGTTCAGTTCACAAGTGGCTGGGTCCATTTATAAAAATATTTTTAACTTATTATCGTTATAAATAATTATATCAATAGTTAAATTTTTTTATTTATAAAAATATTTATAATTTATTTCTGTTTATAAAATAATTTATAATTTATTCTCATTTATAAAAATAATTATATTAACATGAACTTTTTCCAGTTTATGAGTGTCTTTTACCACTTATCATTATTTTTTTTCATAATTACTATTTATCATTATATTTTCATGACTACCATTTATTATTTTTTTTTGAAAAGATTTTGTTTTATTTAGTAATTTTATAAGTTTAAAAAAATTACAAAATCTCTGTTAATTTTGTTTTGTTTTATTAACTTTTTTTTAAAATCTAAATAATTACAAAATATATTTTATTTCAGGTAAAAATCTTGAATTTTAATAAAAAAGAATTAAATGATAAAAAATAAATTAGTAGTACAATCAAACATTTTTAATTAAAATTAATGATATAAATTTGATCGTGTGATTTAGTCTCGTACTCTCATTTTTCAAACAAAAAATAATAACATTTAATTCAGTACAATCCAAATATAAATCTTTGACTTTTTAAAATAAAGTACAATCTAAATATAAATCACATATATTTTAATTTTATTGACATGCAATCTTATTTGATTTTTTTGAAAAAGAGTACAATTAGGTGTAATATTATAAAAAACATGATTATAGAGAGAGAAAAAATATAATTATAAATAGATTTGATTTCTCCTTTAAATCATATTCAAATCAAACCATTAAATTATCAAATATATATTTTTTAAAAAAGAAATTAATATATATATTTATAATTGTCAGATTAAATATTAAAAAAAAATTATTTTAAAAATTCTATAGGTTTAATTTTTAGATTTGTAATTGAAAAAGTTATAATTGAATCATTTATAATCAATTAATAAAATTTTATCAAAAAAATATTGAAATTATATTTATGTTAATTTTTATTTATCGATTCATATTCTTATTTTATATTAACCAGTTTAAAACATCAATTTTTATTATTTGTTATAAAAAATTGAAAAGATCCTTTCTTGAAACTGAAAAGAAGATTGGTTTTCCGAAAAGAAGTGATTGAATCATTAGTGAGAGGGGTGTAGTTAGAGTTTGAGTACATCATTGTTATGAGTATTGAAAAAATGAAAATTGTCCTTTAAAAATGTTGCTGAGATGAAAAAAAACTGTCAGAAAATTAGGTATGGTTTTTGTTTGTTTCTGTTTTCTTTTTTAGAATTTGAAAATTTTGAAGGATGTTATTATTATTTCTCAAACGGCCATTTGAAGGTAGAATTAGCCTAGGTTTTTGAACGAGATGAAGCATCATGTTGACTCCGAGTGGCTTTTTCACTACAAAACTTCAAAAGAATAACTTTAAATTTAATTTTGTAAAATCTATGAAAAGTACTATGGTTTTTAATATTTTATAAATAATTAATAGTTTTGCTAAGAAAATGTTTTATAAATTGCACTTTAGTCTAAGTGTCACATAATTTTAATAATAGTTATTAACAACTTGTATCAAATAATTCCAAAGATCTTGAGAGTGTGTTCCTCTCAAAATCTCAAACTCGAATTCAAAAAAAAAATATATAGCTTAAGTGTGAACGATTAAGCAACTATGATCTCCCTATTTTACATTTTTTTGAGTTTTGATCCATCCATTTTAAAAACTACAATTTTGATTTTTTTTTTAAGTTTTGAGTTTGATTTTAGTTCTCTCTCCAATTTGAGACTTTAATTATTGATTAGGATAACTAATTTATTAATATTATTTTCATTAATAAATAAATAAATTATTAATTTTTTATTATTAATTTTTATATTTAATTAATTAATTAAAATTTTAAATAAAACACTTTGGGCCTAACCTTTTTGACCTATGTCTTTGATCCATCTTTTTAACACACAATTGATTTATTGTGTTTGTGTAAGATATATAAACACTAATAACATTTGTAATCAAAACAATGTGTGACTACTATAACACTGAATTGTTTTATTGCATAGTAAAGTTGTAATATAATGAAGTTTGTTTGTGATTTAACTCAGTGGTAAGAGATTTGTTTTATTGCATAGTAAAGTTGTAATATAATGAAGTTTGTTTGTGATTTAACTCAGTGGTAAGAGATTCTGTTTTATTGAATTGTATGACGATGTTGGCATCACCGTTGTTAATAATGACTTTTCAGATTAAAGCATTTGTGCTGTAATAAATTGTTGCGATTCTGATCCATTAAATTAACTATAGGTTTAGAAAATCCAGACAGTGTGTATGTTGTTATTGTCTTTTTCTTTTCTTCTCCGTATCATATTGTAAGGAATTTTCATTGAAGCAATAGACCAGTCGATTTCATATGTGGTTGTAGAATTATTGTAGGAGAAACTTTTAAAGGCCTTTTCAAGACTTAGGTTTATAGTTAAATGATGATGAATATTCATGTCTCCCTCAAGTTTCTTTATTAATTTATTTATGAAAAGCATAAGAAAATGAAAAAAAAGAAAAGAAAAAAAAAAGAGAGGATATTTATTTGTTTTATTGTCGGTGCAGTTAGTGTAAGTGAGATAACGGTGATGCCATGATGCTATGGGTGAAAAGATGAGATAGATAATATAGCATAATAGTAGATGTTGTTATAGTACACTATGCCAAAACAGACCTTTAGCAGCGCTTTTTTTGACCTTTAGCAGCGCTTTAAAGCGCTGCCTAAAGTGACGCTGCTAAAGGTAAAGACAGCGCTTTTTTTGTGGAAAAAGCGCTGCTAAAGACATCACCTTTAGCAGCGCTTTATTACCCCTTTAGCAGCGCTTTTTAAAGCGCGGCCTAATCTCCCCCCCTCCCCCCCTTTAGCAGCGCTTTATGAAAGCGCTGTCTTAGACCCCTCTTTCCCCACCTATAGCAGCGCTTTTTTAGCAGTTTCTCTGTCCCCTTTAGCAGCGCTTATACATAAAAGCGCTGTCTAATGTGCACGTTTTGAAAAAAAATTTTTCCTGATTAATGACATTTTTTATATATTTTTCAA